TCAATGAGGAAACATATTGAATAAAATTCAAGAGGAAGACACCCCAGAAAAAGCCAATGCTTCTTTCACCAAGAGGTCATACCCAGTGGATAATGTTTGGTTAAATTTTTCCAACATTTAACCTTTTTTCAAATAAATTTTTATTTAATAAACTAGATTAATTCGTGATCCATGAAACATTTGCAAAATTTTCATAATTTTCATAACAGAACAAAAAAGTCATTCGTGACAAATTTCATACTTGTTCCTTCATTCGTTACAACTAATATTGTCTGAAACATAGCCAATGGTAGTAACTGAAAAAGTATCTTGTGGTATTTTTTCAAATTTGATATCAAGTAAACATGCTTTAATGATGGTTAACTAAAATTATTATATAATTGTTAAAAAATAATTAATTAATTAGCATTTAGTATTAAAATATTATTAATGAATTCAAAAATTACAAAATTACATAAATGATCCCATTCTCAATATAAAATTTGGAACCTGCCACAAAGAAAATCTCATCTCCGTTGATAATTTCTGGAACATATTTAGTGTATTCTTCAGAAATTGGCTGAAAGATTATCCCCTAAACGGTTAATTGGCTATTGATAGCCGATAAAATTTTTCTGATATTAAAAATTTTTTCTGAGGGCATCACTTTCTAATACGAAAATGATCTTTGAGATTCAGTCGATTAATCCATAAATAAAAATCCAGTTGTTGTCATTATTATGGTTTTTGTAAAATCTTTAAAAGTTGGTCGATTGACTGTTTTTACTTTGCTGATCGTTAAATTGACCAATAAGAATGATCAAAACTAATTTGTGTTACCATTAAAGAATACTCTGACCGTTTAAGAGATAATTATTACCATCAAAATATCACTGTCATCATTGTCATTATGAAATCCAAAATTTCCTGTATAATGCACTTTTTGCTTAATAAGGTAGACATGTAATTGTTTGTGACATAGAAAGATCATAACATTTAGCATTGTTCACAGAAACTTTTAAATCAATAACATCATCATCCTATTGGGAAGAAAGGTAATTAAGGACCGCTGAATCTTTTTTTCCAGAAATTCTTTAAAAACGGGCACTGTTTAAGATAAAAAGATAAATGTATACCCTAAATGTCTCAACTTCTTTATTGCACCGACCCTCAATGTCATCACGTAAAGCCAAATTTGTACTAGACGAAGACCTTCTTAATCTAGCTAGGGAACACTTCCTTAGACAAGAAAAGAAATCATTCTTGCTGGTAACGCGTCTCTCGAAAGTTTTGAGGAGCCAAGCAAAGACTTTCTGTCAAAATCCACCTGGTCAATCGTAAAATCATAGCTCATGAGGTACCTCTAACACTCCATTCAGTGGCAACAAACTACGTTATTCACTTGCCTGGAACAATCAATTGGTTGGCGCATCTGAAGAGGATCTCATCACGGTCCGAATAGTGTGTTTACTGCTGATGAAACTATCCGACCGAAAAATTTTCCTAAACTTACACGTTCTCAAACATGTAATTCATCAGGGTCAGCTTATCTAAACACGGTTATTGAAGTCGAAGCGAATCAACCCGTAGCTTAGATGGTCTAGCGCTATTTTACTTTTCTCAATGGACTATAATTATAACCTAGCTATTGAATTATTTTCCTGCTTGTTCTCTTTCTTCTCATCGTCAGGATAACATAAAGCCAATGGTTCCATGCTTTACCTACGCACAAGCCCTACTCCAACAGTACCAATCACAATAATATCTTTTGGTACTGCACAACTCAATAATTCAATTACGATATTTCTTCAGAGTATAGGTGTGCCAAATGATAACATCACTGGTGTTGGAAGAGGAGCGCCTGCTTGCAACGGCTCCAATATTCAAAATTATCAATTACATATTCTTGCTGCCGAACTCTTCAATGGTGCTCTAACTGGAATTCCTAATGGTTAGCTAACGAGTTCAACTTAGATTTATAGAGAGTGCAAGATTTAGTGTTTGATCTTTAGTGCATGTTTCATTTAGACTTTTGTTGCTTTGTGCTTGATTTAATTACAAGTTCCGTACCCTTCTATATACACGGATTTCTTTATTGAAATTTTAGTTAGTGTTAGAAATAAGCATACTATATACTGTAAATACTAGTTTAAAAAAAATCTTTAGTATGAATAAACTTTAATAATTTTATACTGAATTATTGATAAAATGATGAAAACTTGTTAAGGTCTCATATAATACAAAATGATAGGAGAAATTATGTACACGATTATATTTTCCACCCAACTATTCTTTTTGTATAAATCTAATCAAATGGTTTGTTTCAATTGCATAATGTTTTCGAATCCATTGTGAGTTGTCCGTATCAAGAATTAGCAAAAAAAAAATTTGTAAACAAACCGACATTCAATTTACTCTTACTGTTACATTTTATTTTCACTCCCAAAAAATACATTGAAATTCTCCAAAGGGAAGGTTTCAGAGAGAATCACAACACATCAAGGGTTTTCTTTCGATTTTCATGATTCTGCATCATAATAAATGAGAAAGAGGGACGTTCGGAAAAACATGGAAACATAAAATAGTAATTAATAATAACCGCAAAAGAAGAACATTATGACAAGTAATAATAATGCCTTAAAGAGAAAATACACTACAAAGGAGGAGAGATATAACGTTATTGAAATAACTATTGAGGTTTAAATGATTTGTAAAAACTTCAAAATTGTCAGGATGGCAAAATTACCAGTATAGATGGATATAAGTAATTATACAATAAAAAATAATATTGCGTAAAACAATTTTTTTAATAATTAGTGTTAAGTTAAGTTTGTATGGAAAATCTGCGTTCAGTTTGTTATAAAAAACTTGGCCAAAGAAACACAAATAAGGAACACCTTGCATTAAAAACATTAATCGTTCTTATATATATGTAAAAAAAAATAGCTTTAGTTTTACAAATATATTCAAAGTTTTAATTGAATTTAATTGGATAGAATTAAGAGTGGTTATTATTGTTGTAAGGGTTGCACCGTTAACCGTTTAACTGCGGTTAACCGGTTAACTTTTCCTTATATATTACAGTCAAACCTTGTCACAGCGGACCTCTCCAACAGCGGATTTCTTGTTACAACAGATTTAAGTATTTGTCCCCTTATTAATTAAAACGTTTGTCATAATAATAACGGATTCTATTAATAAATTTGTTCCACGGTTTTTTGATGGGGTCTTTCTATATGGCTATAGCAGATTCATGTGACCATATAAATGTCCAAATCACCGAAATTGATAATAATAGTTGGGGGAAACTGCAATTCTCCCTTTGGAAAATGAAATGTATAATAATGAAATTGAAAATTCAAGAAATATATTTGAAGAGATTTCAAATAGAGAAAAAATGATGTAAATAATATAATAGTTGTTGAGAGTAACACTATGCTTAAAGTTTCAACGAAAGATGCCGTAATTTCCTTTGAGACAGCTTTTAATTTTCTTCAACAAGGTGATTTAGAATTGGTTATAAAGAATTTAAACCATTGAAAAAAGTGAAATTATTAGATCATAATGAAAAACTAATACAACCAAATATTTCAACAAATAATTTTCATTTCCGCATGTATTATTCATCTATTCATTTATACCAACCTCTCTATAACGAACACTAAGTAAGTTTCTCTATAACGAATTTCCCTTTTGTCACTCGTCTCCGATTCAATTTTTTAAAATTAATTTCTCTCTTTATAACGAACAAAAGAAGAAAAATGGGCAGAGGATTCGGTATATAGAACTTAGACTGTATTATTAAAAAATTTTTACCGATCATCACCAATTTTGCCGCTGCAGATTTCTTGTCATAATAACGGATTTTTTTGGCTGGAACCATGAATCATGCAAAGGTTTGATTTCCTAAATCTTTTTTTTTCTTTTTTGAATAATCAATATAATAATGACATAGAAAATCAGAAAACAAGAAATTTTGCATGCGTATTTTACAGTACCTAGGCTACAAGCTATGTATACTTATTACGTGTGCTTTTGCGTAATTGTTTCTCCGAAATTTTGCTGTAACGTATTATTTGATCTAATAAAATCTATTTGAATCTACTAAAACAAATAAACAAAAGGATAAATTTACTATTCATCAATAAAGAAACTTTAAAGTATATTATAAATATGATTGATTTTGAACTAAGTGATGTATCAAAAAAAAAATTTGCAACATTAAAATCATTAAACGCTATACATTTAATAATATAAATTCTTTAAAAAAAATACTGTTTAAATTGACTAGATTAGAGCTCCGAACGAGTCGGGTCGGGTCGGGTCAGTGC